ACAGCAATCGATAGCTTTTGAGCTCTTCTTTTGATAAAGTCATTATCAAAATTGACCTCAGGTCAACGGTTTAGCCTCCAGAGGGCAAAAACTCCAAAGATAGCTGTTTTTACGAAAAGTGTTTTTCGACAATAACTTTCGACTACAAAAAGCCACGACATTTCTATTGCCAGAATCGTGTTCCTCTCGCCGAGACGCGTCGAATGAACTATAATTTGACCTTGAAAGGTCAACTTGAAAATTTGACCTCAGGTCAAGGTCATGACCTGACCGGAAAAGGTCATGTTGCATGTCAGTCGATGCGTCTCAACAAGACAAACACAATGAGACCATCCCCAGCGTTCTATCTCTTTCCAGTCGCTAGTAATTGGCAAAAGTCTGTTTGTAGCCTCAAATGACCTCGGATGACCTTTCTAGAGGCTATCAGCAAAATGAGACCTAGGTCATCACGGGTGGTCCAAATCATTGTGATTCTGAAATATTTGGACTGTTCCTATGCGTACACACGGATCTAGAGGCATTTTCATTTTTCTCCATTGACTTGTAATGGGAAGGTCACGCCACTGACCTGACCTTAGGTCACGGATATAAAAATCCGAGATATACCAATTGTAGGCGCCCATAACAGCATGCTATCCACCAAGTTTAACCCTAGAACGCCTAGGGGGGGGGTTGTATCAACCCCCCCCCCCCTGAGGTTTTTTCGAAGTGCACGCTAAACGGCTTGTCGTAGCGGGCTGAAATTTTCAATACCCTCTGGGGCAACCTTTGCGCATCTTTTGCCGAAAAAAAATTGATCGGGTCATGTCAGGTCACGGAGTTATGACGTCATAAGAGGTACAGCCTCCGGCCGACAGTTACCAAACGTGTGCGCCGAATCCCTAGGTTTTCTGCCGGTGATACCCACATTGTTTGATGGATCATGATGAAACTTCCCATGCATGTTGGGGCAAGCATTGGCTATCGTGTGGTGTAAGAAAATTGACCGGGTCAGGTCAGGTCACGGAGCTATGACGTCACAAGAGGAACAGCGTCCGGTACTATTTTTGAAAAGCGCTCGAACCACTATTTTGCTAATTCTTGTCACCTCAATGGGAATATGCAGCAATATTAGCTTCTATAGGGAGCAAATGGACCTCCCAAATCCAAAAATACAATCAGATTTAAAAAAATTAAATTTTGATTTTTCGAATTTCTGCCGCCGACTGTGACCTTGCCGACTTCCGGCGCTCCCAACGCGCCATTTTTAGAGCTAGGGAAACGAAATACATACCAAACGATAGAGAATTGATCAAGGAACACGATAGTGAAGGTTTCAAGTCGATATCTCCCACCGTTTTGCCGCAATCGCCGCGGAAAGTTGAAAAAGGTCTATTTTTCCGAAAATTTGACCTTTGACCGGTCAAAAGTAGGTCAAATGTTGACCTAGGACCAAAAATATACCACCAATCGCGAGATCTCGTTGAGAGCAATCCGTTGGTTTTTTCCGCTAAGCTCTACGACCTTCCGTTTCGAAACGCCAGGGGGGGGGGTCGTAACAACCCCCCCCCCCCCCTGGTCGTTCGTGTTATGAGAAATGGCCTGGTCGTGCGAGGGTTAAAACCTTTCTGACAAACACTGCAGGCTGGACGTGATTGCAAACTTGTTTTTAGGCTTGGTCAGTTAACTTGACCTGGTGACCTGACCTGACATGACCTGGGGTCAAAAATTTCACACATTGTCCAAAATTGATGTACCAAAAGCTACCCCAAGCGGCGCGGCGCTACGCGCCGCGGTTTTTTATTCACACGCAAAAAACGCGACAGGGTGGTAACATATGCCCCCCCCCCCACTGGGGCGAAGGCTAAACAACACATGAACGCGGGGCTGTTTATTAATTAACATCTTATCGCTATTATTAAGTACGAAGATAAAGTCATCTGCCGGCTGTCGTTTCCCGTTTGTCGCTTGCACTGGGCCCGATCTTTTACCCTCCTACAGCAAAGCGTCATGGCGCATTGCTCGTTCACTCGTCACTGCTCCGATTGACCGCGGTGCCCCCGTTTTGGTCAGCTCGCCCAGTGGTCAGTCCGCCGCCGAGCTGGCCGAGTGTCGCCGAGCGGTCAGATAGCCTCGGCTGTGGGCGGGCCGGTTTGTAACGTTTTGTTTTAACACGGCACCTGCACTCGTCAATAGGGCGCCAGCGATCTGTTCGATACAGAAAACATGGGAGAAACGCTCTGAATAAGCCGAGCCACTATGGTAAAAACGCTGTAAGCCGTGCCCGTTAGAAACGCCAGTGGGTGGCGAACATAAGTGACTTATCCATATACCGTATACCGTGGCGTGAAAACCTAAGTAGGTGTGATAGTATCATAGTGAATGCACGCGTGACCGATCGGGGCGAAAGTGTCCATCAAGTCACACATTACTGGCCGATAAAGCTAACAATAAGGAAGTATAGAGCGCTAGGACGGTCTTTTTATCGATGCATTTTGACACTTCATTTCCTAGTTGGCTAGATACGCTACCGAAAAACTGCGCAGATATCCATATGCGACTGTGAGCAAGAGCGCACAAAGCAAGAGTCTGTAGGATCGACCAAGCCAAAAACGACCGTGTAATTTCGAAGAAATGATAAATCAATAGTAAAATAAGTATGCGCACACTTAAAGGTGAGGACTTTCCTCATGAACTGAAGGATTGCAAGTGCCTCTGCATGCATGAATGCTGTTCAACAAAACTAGCCTGTTGCATATTGCAACTGATGGCCCGAATAAACATTAGCGGCATGACTGCATCTGCCGTGCCGGGTCCCGAGTGGCTGTGGCAGCACCTCCCGTCCCAGTGTGGAATTCCCCGTCCCTGAGCTACCCCAAGCGGCGCCGCGGAGGCACGCGGTTAGCAATGTGTTGCAGACCCCGGGGGCGGCTCGGGACTGCGCAGTACCTATAATGATACGGACCTTGGGGCCGAGGATGCCATGACGTCATCGGTCGTATGTTGTTGCGCAATGGATGCATGTATCCCCCTTTACCCTACGACATTCATGCCTCCACTTTATCTGCCACCCGTTTACATTTGGGAGAGTACGGCACGAAACAGCATAGAACGGAGAAGCTGTCACGTGAAAGCGCGCAATACGAGCTGGAGTGGTTATCGGCTGTGGCGTTGGATGTGTGACCGTTTATATTTACTACAGTGACGCAAGAGACTGCCCAGCTGGTCTGAGAGAAATGGTTCAGTGACAAACTCCATTAGATGTTTGTCGCCTGCCAATAAATAAACAAAACCAATCAGCCCTAGTCCCAGCGAGAACCAGCACGAGAGGAAGTGGTACACATTCACGTTTCGAGGATAATTACGCCACAAAACAATAGCATCAATGACGGTGTGATTTGGGAGTGACATCCGCCGTTTGGGATTTATTGGAGAGCGGTGTTGAGGTCACGGGTCACGTCAATGCCACACGGAACCGCTCGGGATATGTGTGTGGTCATTGTCATATCATGGGAGATGCACCTCGCTCTACAGGTGTAATATGAACGTTTAAAGGCGGCTGTTTGGGCTGTGACTCTTCCATAAAATATAATTTATAATTATTGAGAGAGAATATAGCTACCAAAGCACAACAGCACGGGAAATTATACAATATGCATGCATCAAAACATTTTTCATGGATGGGTATACATACTGATGCATTGCACGGAATGTCATAGATTATTCTACAGCAAAGACGGTTTAGCCGAAATGACTGATCATCATTCAAACGTGACTGGTATTTGGGTCATTTCCTTGCCAATCACGCTACAGTTGGGCAGGTATCGTTACGCCGTATATTTATCGGTGCCGTTTGGATTCCCACGATTTGAAATGCCCTATACCGAGCATATTGGGACATGAGCGTTATACGGCATCTTATGTGAATCACTTCCCAACGGACAAAGTCGGCTCAAATTCAAACATGGACGCCTTCCGGTCGCTTAGGGCGTGCCAGCTCCAGAGGATAGTATCGGAACAGACTTTACCAATCGTTCACGGCCGTGGCTCCAATGGACGGCTCATATGCTCCGCACTTCCACTCCGGAAGTTAGACATCCCATGCCCAAACGACTCGAGCCCTCTTCCCGGACTAATGACTTTACGTTCGGCCTTTTCAAACGGCCTAGCCTTGCCATTCCTCGACGGACGGTTTCTAATTTGAACGGTTTCTAATTTGTCCTTTACCTGGATTGGATAGCGAATCGTACCTATCTCGTTTCCTTGCTGAATGATTTGAACTAGGATACCGAATATCTTACCAGATGATCGAGTTCCCGAGACCGGAACTATGGACATCTCCGCCGGATATACCGGACGGTCGGTCAGTCAAAGTGCCGTCACAAAAAGCCCGGCATAAAAAAAACGCCTGACAAATGACAAGAAGCCGTTCGCCACGCGTCATTTGTCGTGGGATCGAGCAGCCCCACATACCGCCTCTCGGGAGCGTCCTGTGCCGTGTCCATCCACTGCAGATGCGAAGTGGAGTGCCGTGTAGTTGCTGAGTGCCGAGTATCCGGTATGGCTTGTTGTCGTGTCCCCAGTCTCGCTGAGCGATAGGTCACTCGGATGCACCCAGCGACAGTTGTTTTTTCGGCGGTATGCTGACAGGAGGGATTGCAGCGATCGGAACACATGCACGACCGTAAACAGCGGCGTCGGTGACGTCTTACTTGTCTCCCCTGACATTTCCTCCTCGTAGCTCGTCTCCTATGACCTTGTCTCCCGGGACCGGGACGAAGACATTGCCTCTCCTGACATCACTATCTCTAGTCCTGTCTGTTATCACTCCTCCCCCGCTGACTTTGTCCCTTACGAAACTATCCCCTTTGACCATTCCGTCAGCCTTTGACTATTCCTCTGACCAGCAGCGTCCCGCCGTCACCTCCCCAGCCCGGCAGCGCCACCGCTCCAGCGCCGCCGTCCCAGCCCGTCCCAGTCCCGTCGAACCTCGCGGCGCGGCGCGGTGCGTCAGTGCCGCCAGTGTGGTGCCAGTGCCGGTCGGGGGAGGTCCAGCGGTGCTCCTCGCGCGTGTGTACGACTCGATCGCACGGCCGCAGCGATAGGAGACTGGACTGAACAGGACCTCAGACGGCACTGGAGCTGCAGGGAGACGAGGGGGACCGTGACAGGTGAGGAAACAACTCGTGGACCGTCGGAGCTGAGACCGGTGCACGGTGAGGAATGAGACATTTGGATGTGGGCGTGTGTCCTAAGCCTCGACCTTTACCAATAATTTTGGTATGAAATATCAGGCTCATAGTGTAAGGATGCTGACAAGAGTAACCGAATTTTTTATTACAGTTGCACTAAAGAGCTACATCATGAAATCATGAAATAAATCATGAAATAGTAACTCTAAAATTTTGGTAAGCCACCAGAGTTAGAATAAACTAAAATCCCTATCCATATAATTCGAGCCGTGACGCCTGTTTCGCCGGTGTTACACCACCGACTCAGACTGTGGCCTTCAGCGGCCGCACGGGGTGCCATCCATCAGACCCGCGGTGTCGGGATGGGAGCACGCCGGGCCAGATAGCCCATCGGTTAGCGCGAGAAGCTATACCATGGGCCGAGCCGCCGAGAGAAAACGATGACTCGCCCCGGCACCTGCGCGTCGCGCCTTATAGGCGAAACTCTGTCCATTCACATTTGTTTTAGACTGACGATTTAGCGGCGTGTGATAATGGAATTTCGGCTGATGTCAACGTTATTAATGAAAGCTATTGTAACGGAAATCATTAGAATGTCGTAGATAACTTTAATGGTCAAAGATGGATACTTAGGACGTTTATCAATTATCAGGACACGGGATTTGCACCCAACATATATCAATGCTGCCGGATTAGGGTGGTATTTTAAATAAACGGTGATCGCAACCTAATAAATTAAAGCCAACATATTGTTTCTTATATGTGCAAATGACTGGTAATCATATATTTACAAACGTTATATTGAAGACAGCGACTGAACGTAATGTAAATGGAGTCGATTGTCGAATGCGTAGAATTCGACTCGATGGAATCGTATCTCGATTACACGAATAAATTTCATATACAACGCCAGGCGGTCCGTGTCATATAACTGGTCCGAGCTGCACTTTGGCTCCACGGTCCCCGATTCGATATCAATGTTTATCGTTTTCAACACCCGATCAAAGGAACCCGGTCGTACAACGGTTCTGGTCCGCCACCGATGGAATGGCTGTGATAAGACTCGACACCTGTGTACAGCTGCACCTCCCGCTCATCGACATCCTCTGTACAAGGAACCGCACCGCATCGGTCACCTCCCGTGCACCTAAAAAAGATGTCCAATTCCTCCCGCGTCTCCCACCCAAATGCGCCGTCGAATGAATAGAAAGCACCCAGATGACATACAAGTGGCCCGTTTGACAGACAAAACCCGGCACGTCCATGTTGAGTTATGGGCGAGTGGTGAGATTAGGCATGCAACGGACGCGCTGTATGACATCAGCGACTGTTTATATTTGGAGGCGCGGCGCGGTCGGTGGCACTTGAGGCCCATTTCGACCCGGCGAGCTCACCAAACCTGTCCGGGTTCCGGCTGGAACGGCCTGCCGGCCACGTACGTATTGAATGTACGACCGCTACTACTGCAGCAGGTAGTAGCGGCGATCCAGGCGTTATATGTATGCCCGCTCAGCAGCACGTGAGTACAATGACGGCCTGCCGCAGGGTACTGTGGTGGGGCCGGCACTTTTTAAAGGGGTGAACATGATCCGTCCGATCACGCACACAGGCTCGGCCAGGGGCCGGTGCGACGGACCGTGTTCACCGACAAATGGCAGGCTCGCAGGGGCGGGAGTGCGACCGCCAGGCTGGTGTTAGTTGTTCGTGCTGACGTGTATACTTTTTACTTTTGATTTTTGTCAGTCTTTGTCGACAACCGTTTGCTGATGGGTGGAATTCTTGCGGTATATTCGCGATATCAAAGTTAAGATATTAAAAGCGGTCACTTATTTTCACCAGTGATAAATGATTGATGATAATGAATTCCATTCAGCATGACCGATACGTTTTTAGAACTTCATATAGTGTCACGCAACCAATGCAGCTTGAAAGCGCATAGCTTGTTCCAATGTCCCTTTGAAGCATTATTTCGAAAGGGTTCCTGCTTGCAAAATGCTTGCCAGGCTGCTCCCATACACTCGTCTACTCCATCTCAATCTAGACGGGGTCACGGAAAACTCCCTCCCGTCCCGTCTCCACTGTGGGTGGCCGGAGCGGTGGTGGTCCGGGTCTCCACCATCGCCAGCGATCTCGGGCGTCATCACCATCCCACTGCCGGCTGACGGTGCCGGCCCACATCCTGATCGGCGCCGGTGGGCCGCTGCAAACAATCCTGCACATAATCTCTCCGTTTTTGCAGCGAAAACAAATTGAAAGGCAGACTCATGGTGGTCGGACGTGTAAAAATGGCGAGCTCAAGCTGGGCGAGATCGGCGTGCGATTTATTGTCTGAGGATTTCCATTGTGGATTGGTATCGGTCTGCGTTATTGAGATATGGAGACATTTCAGGGATTATGGCAGCGGTTTCATAGCCTATCGTGCAAGTTAATGGAGGAAAATGGATAACTCATGCTCAACGGGTATATTGTGTTGATAGATATAGGCAAACGACAGTCGACACGTTTCTTTTGATCCATTCGCGATTCACGTGCGTTGCATTTCAAGAAATTCTGTGAATTACGAGTGCCTGCTCATCAGTGGGCGTTGCCGAGTGCCGACATTTTTATTTGTGGAGCCAGCTGGATGATGGATCAGGGGTCTGAGTCCTTGGCGCTGCTTATATAGGTGCACTTCGCTCGGTGTGGGCTTGGTGTTCGTGCTCATTTTGACCTCTCGACTCACGCCTGTATTTGTACGCGTACTTGAAGTTCGTCACTACAATCTTGTTTGGGTTTTAACTATACTTTAATTCGCTTCTAATAACACTGAGCGTTTTAATTACGGAGCGAGCGAAGCGAGCGGAGTCTTACGTAGAATAACGGAAATTTCTGAGTATGAGCGGCCGGCCGGCCGTGGTCACGATTCTGCGACGCTTATATCTCAGCAACCACTTGACCGATTTACACGCGGTAATCTTTGTAGGGTAGCTTCATTCCTTCTACCAAGTATTGGACTATTCCCGATGCATGTGGGTGACCCCTTATGCACGTGCCACGCAGGGGCGTCGCCACGGCTCCCCAACTTGTACGGACACATTCTGTCAGCCGTAACACTCGTCAGAGGCGTAAACCCACGCGGGCCCGTGGAGGGCATTTTTCGCCCTCCTCCCCCCACCCCGAACGAATAGTTGCAATAGCCCACGAATGCCTAGGGGTTTCGAAAAAAAATACAAACACATTTTTGATACATACATTAGGGTAGATGGCAGGTCAGCGACCCCGAGCTGCGTTTTTTTTTTTGCAGAGTTCTTCAGCAAAGAAGGTACTAGACAGTGGTACCAACGCACTTAGTCATATCAAGATGCCTCGAATGACATAAAGATAGGTTATTTGAAACGGTCAAGCCTTATGTTAACCTCATGTGACATCGAATAGCCTTTGGTTGACTTTTACACATGATCAGTCTCATTTGCTGTATTTGAAGTCGCTGGTCACGATTTTGTCATTTTCTTTTGCTCTAAGCATTTATTTAGTTTAGAGCCTCAGGATGACAAAAGTCACAGAATTATTATGGCTGACGTATCAGTGAAATGGTCTATAGAATGATACAGAGTGTAACGAAATTATCCGGACACCTTTCTTTCCGCTGTAATTACGAAACAAGACAACATGAGGTTTGATGTTTGACAACCCTTTGATGATGATATAGCAACCTTTCGTAAGATCATATTTAGAAATGCTTAGAACATTCCAGCTACTGGGTTTTTAAGCACAGTGGGTTTGATGTGGACCGACGTCGTATTAGCATGTGCATACATACAGTTGGGCGGTCCTGGTGGCGGGTGTCCCCTTATTCACCTCCTGCTGGACAAAAGTCCATAAGATCTCGATGGAATTAGGATGAAAACTATTTCCAAGCCGGAGTCCGTTAGTCCAGAAGGATAAGAGCTTCTCCCGGCGTCACTTCTCATTCTCCTACGGACTAATTTGTCTGACAGGATGTTGCTCCGGTAATACTCGTCAGTCGTCACTGATGGTGGTCTTCTGTCAATGGGTTGGTCAATGCACAGCTGGAACATCGCACAGCAGCTGAATATGCTCCAGATCTGGAGCTTGGCCAGATGCTTAACGACGGTGACGGCCGGCACGTTTGAGTTACTGGCAGCCAACACAAGGCCGCATTGGCGGTTCAAAGGACAATACAGCGCGAATAGCTACCCATTTCACCACACCACCTTGCTTATGTGTTCCTTCGACCAGTGGATGCGTCTTGACGTGAGGCCAAAGGTGGTGCACTGGCTTATTTTCCCGTCAATTTCGTTGTCTTTTTCAGTTTGATGGGCAGAAGAACCAAGGTAAGGGGCGGATAGCGGTGGTTGAATTCAAGTCAATCTGCGTCGGCAAAGGGTGGCTTTTGCGGTCGCAGCCGGGCTGAGTTCACCAATCAAGTCCCAGCTTATTACGCCTCAGGCAGATGTGCAGTTGGCTGCTGCTGATGTCCAGCTGCTGGCAGACCAGTTTCAGGCTCATTGCCGCAATGCCACAAACATGCTTCTTAACCCTCGCCGGCACAGGTCATTTTGCGTCCTTCGATTCCCGCTTCTAACATCAGAAAAGAAACTGTGCGAACAGATATGGCTAACAAATATGTGTCCGGATAATTTCGTTACACCCTAAATACTAGTAGTAAATACTCTTGCGTGACATTGACTTTGGGGCTGCCTTGGATCGTAGCTTTACCCACAAATAAGGGGTTGATAAGCGTTAAGCTACTTCAAAACATGTGCAAAGACTGCTTTGCAGTCGTCGAAACTTGTACGGACATTCCGTACAAGTTTTCGGGCCTTCCAAAACTTGTACGGACACTGTCCGTAGTGTCCGTAGTGGTGGCGACGCCCATGGTGCCACGTGCAAAACGAAGAGGTGTCACTTTTGTAATTGTTGCAATATCTCGGTAACTACTTGGCCGATTGCGCTGTAAGTTGGCATGTAGGTAGGCA